CAGAATATGTCCTAAATCTTAACCGCTTTGTGCCTCCTCCACCATGATTGGGGCTGCTGCCCCTTCTCCACCTTCCTTCCCACTCTCCTTCTTGCCCCCATTGACTGCAGCCACGGTGGCCTCCGTGCTGTTCCTTGAACTCACCAAGCACATCACCAGCACCTGGCTTCAGTAACGAGCCTATTCAGACCCCTGCCTTGCCCAGAGAACCTTTGTTCCCCTTCACCAGCAGGAGTCACATTCCTGGTGACCGCTGATGCTTCAGGAACAAGTGGAGTCTAAGGCTTCAGCCCTGCTCTCTGCTTCACATTCCTGTTCGGTATAGATTCCTTGGAGGTGTTTCTTGTATTCCTATGCATTTTGTCTTGCTATTTTGTATCTATTATTGTTGTGTGTTTGGAGAAGAGATGTACATCTTCACCAGGACATCCAAAAGAAAAGCGTTTATGCCTATACTTTTGAGCTCACTGTTATGTGTACCTGTATTTTTTGGCTACATTTCCCCCTTACATAAAATGTAATTGCAATTTTGATTTTTTCTAAGATTCTTAGGTTACCTAGGAGATATTTTCTTTTCTTTTCTTCCTTTTTTTTTTTTTTTTTTGAGAGAGAGAGTGAGAGAGCACGAGCGGGGTGGGGAAGGGACTTAGGGGAGAGGGAGGAGAGAGAGAATCTTAAGAGAATCTTAAGCAGCCTCCATGCTCAGCATGGAGCCTGATGCGGGGCTTGATCCCACCACCCTGAGATCGTGACCTGAGCTGAAACCAAGAGTTGGACCCTTAACCCACTGAGTCACCCAGGTGCCCACTAGGAGATATTTTCTTAATTATTAATTTATTAATGGCTTTTAAAAATGGCTATTTTCCCCATCAATTTCTAATTTTTATATTATTAGAGATTATGGCCTATATATTTTTTCTCATGATCGTAAGCTCAAAAGGAAAAAAAGTATAATCTCAAAGCTTACGGAATAAAGTTCTGTAATTGTTAAATAAAATTTTTTTGACCATATTATTCAAATCTTCTGTATTGTTAATTTTTAAAATCTACATGATCCACCAACTTCTGAAATAAATATAGTAAAACTCCCCACCATAGATACACTTTCAAATTCTCCTTGCATTGTTAGGAGTTTTTGTTTGATGCAGTTGTCTGCTACGTTGCATGTGGTATCAAGTTTTATGACTTTTTTTTTTTAAGATTTATTTATTTATTTATTAGAGAGAGAGAGCATGAGAGGGGGGAAGGGCAGAGGGAGAAGCAGACTCCCCGCCGAGCAGGGAGCCCGATGTGGGACCC